AGGGGGGGGAGGGGGGGTACCCTCAGTTTACGCTTATTGATAGACGACAATTATTTCAGGCACGTCAGTAATCCGTGACCTTATAGACACATTAACACGTTACTCCCATTTGTCTTTTAATGTCACCAAGGACAGCAGTGTCCGCTGCGTCCTCTGCATGGTCAGCGTCACGCATGTCGTGCTGTAGACACTGTCTATATCAAGGTCAAGCAAGGGCACTGACCTCCAGGAACTCTTGACCAGGGTCCGGTAGGGAGGGATTTGTTGAATCCCATAGGTGGCGCTGCAAGGAGATGTAATGGGAGGGATCTTTATATGAATCAAGTGCACGTTTATTAGGTGAAAATTACAGGCGGCCCATTAAGTCTGAACTCACAGGTAATATTACTATCAATAATGTACAATCTGTATTTTTCCTTCTGTTTTTTTGTATTTCTTTTTCTTTTGGCCGCAAACCCTGATAAAAAGATTATCGAAAAACAAAAATAGTGGCAATCACATTGGACATGTTATTTCTTAATACTTCAATTCAAAATATTATCCAATGCCTTTAAATTGAAAGTGTGCATTTTCGTCTCGGTGTTCAGACTAGTGGGTACCTTGTAGGCCTGTACAGGTGTGACAGGAATGGTAGTCCTAGGAATGGAAGTCCGGGGTCCCATATGATTAGCACGGGTTAGGGTTAGTTGGAGTATTGGGGTAAAAATATTGGACGAATGTCACCTGTACAAAGTAATGGGAAACGGTCTACGGTTCCTGGAGGACTTCCATTCCTGTTACGCTGGCATTCAAGTGAGGACAATGTCACCTTAAACACGTACGTCAAAAACCAGGTAGGCCTAACGTGTCTCGTGTCACGTTGATATCCACGCCTGTTTTGCTAAAATGTAAATTTAGTGGTGTGAACAGTGTAATACACATCGGGGCTGTTCTGCTCATGTTTTTCTTGTGAAGTTTTCACATAGATAACTTAGGGAACGTTTGCTTAGGATTTTATTGAAATATTTGCAGTTGGGTACTTCATTTGTTGAAGAGTCCTCCTCCTTTCCCGGGGGAATAAAAAAACTATATCGATAGAATAAGTAGTGTTCACCTCGTAAACGTGCACATGGTTTATATAAAAATCATTCTTATAACCTAACCAGTAATATCAATTATGGTTTAGGGACACTTTTTATAGATAAACGGACATACACGAACACAAACGGAAAGAGACGAACACAATACTCTAACACAATCACAACCTTACACATACACACACATGTATGTGACAAGACTATTTTAATTAAGAATGATTATGGATTTGACGAATTCCTCCCTGAAATGCGTCAGCTGAAAAAAATTTTTTTTTGTCGCACATTTGGGAGTAGGCTTACATCATAATGATATCATATCGACGAGAGAAAACTCATAATTTGACCGGTAGATAAAACAATAGTTTATCAAGATATTATTTAGTTTCAGTTTATGTCCACTAACTGTCGCCTGTATGCTGGGGACCAAATGAATGCGGCAATGTAAAGTGACATTTATGCTGTTGGAATTCACGGACATTTTTACAGAATCCAACATGACTGAGACTTAACCAAAACGATGTTTCTGACCAAAGCCAAGGAAACCGTCCACCTGTGGTCTGACGCCAAACTTCGTTACGTCCACTGCGCCGGACTGTGGATCGGATTCTGGTTGACCATCGTGTCCGTCGTCCTTCTGGTGACCCTCTCCGGCGTCTATGCTAAGGGCTACTTTGATATGCAGGCCTTTAAGAGACTGAGGTGCACGGTATGGGACATATACTATCGATTGGACGAGGTGAAGTGTACTGGGTGTCAGCGCCACCTGGTTGTTAATGACACGGTGGTGTGCGCACGTGACCGGAACCACACTTTGCCCTGTCTGCTGGTGGTCGTAACGTATAACGCGGGAAATGGCACGCAGAAGGGGTATCTCTATGACGACCTCGTGGCTATGGATTCAACGTCCAGGTCTAAGGTATAAGGGGAACTTGCGCTCCTTTCTTAATTCATACTGTGTGTGTGTGTGTGTGTGTGTGTGTGTGTGTGTTTATGAGCGCGCGCGTTTCCGTAGGTGCACAAGGGGGTGTATGGACAGGTACATACTAGTTTACATGTACATGTACATTTATGTACCTGTGCGACAGATGCAGAGTTAATGGATCCCTGATTGAATGAATGTCCTTTAGAATAGCGAGATTTTAATAACAATGAGAGAGAAAGAGAGCGACATGAGTGTTTGACTAGATAGACAGTAAGATAACTTCATTAATTTTTTGCTTTCAGTGCTCCTACACCCCTGCCTGCCAGGAAGACCCAACCAAGGAATGGACAAATTTACGTCACTTCCGGGACCAATATGACGCACTGGGGTCATCTTTTGAGTGCTACCAAAATCCTGCAAACGTGTCACAATTTATAAGCCACGTCGTATGCAGCGAAGCCTGTGCCGTCAACGTAATACTGTGGCCTTTGCTTCTTACCATCGCCTCCTTCGTCCTGTGTCTTCTTGGCATTCTTTCCGGCGAAGAGCAAGACCGAAGAGAGCAGTTTGTGAGAAAAAAGAGGGCCCCCTGTCGGGGTTGGGTACCCGGATGCACAGCCTCTAACAGCGTGCCCTCTGTCAGCACTATGAGCTCTACCTTGTCTGTTCACACCGCGGCGTCATCGCGGGCATTAGACTCCACGTCGCATAAGTCTATAATAAGCGCGTATTCGGAGACGCCTGTGTGACGTTACATTACCATGTGACTATCCGTCAAAAAGACAATCGGCAATCCTCGGCTCATTCCGCAAGCTCCATACATTGTCGAGTGCGGAGACATCCGAGTAGTTCCGAGTGTCAAAACGAATGATCAACCAAAGCTTGTGTGAGATATAGTCTATAGATACTATTAACCTTCCTTTTCTGTATTATACATTCATGTACCTTAAAGTTCATGCCAGCTTTCAAACACCACTGTTGTCCTTCTCAAACAGATGATAAATACAGTTACGGTGGGTGGGGTGGGGGTAACTGATGCACTTGGCATTATTTTACCACAAAGAATGAAGCTGTAAGGGGTCATCATCTTTCGCAGCTTCTGGAGGGGGTGGGCCAGACAACGAAGCTGATTATTTTAAGTGCACATAAGCAAGAATCCCCGCATAGATAGATCGATTCTACTGATTCGATAACTTAAAATCTGAACACAACCCAAATATGATACATACAGTGTATGCACGAGGATACGGCATTCCTGCGGCACCTGGCGGCAGTGCCAAGTCCTGCACCAAAGAGAGCAAAAAAAAGGACGAAATGTTCACATTCGAGGTAGCCTAAAAAAAGCCCAAAACTTATCATTTTAAATTTAATAATACAGTGAATATACGATCCGAGCATAAAGAAATATCAATTTATTTACATCCGTTTACAAGTACAGTACATGTATGTATTACATAAGCGAAACCCCGTGTCAATAGCGTTCTTACTACACAAATGCATGTATGATATATTATTAAATAAAAACCAGCTGAGATTTTATAAATGGTATCGTTATGAAACGTGTCCTACAATATTTCAAAAGTCTATATAGGAGGCCTGATTTCAATGCCAAGTATATGTTGCACATGAAGAGAAAATTTTACACAACTAAGAAGATGGACTTCCTTCCCACCATGTTGGCAATTGTCGGCCATTTTGAATTTATTCCCATTCACTCTGGCCCCTTATCTCACTGTGGCTACGTGAACTAAAAACGTTTATTTTTGTACTACTAGTCTGTAAACAGTTTTTGATAAGAAACCACTACTGAATGCGATCTACCGTGACGTACCTTGCCATGTCAAATTATGGACGCGTTGATGCTTATTTTACAAGACCACCTTTTCATTTCCACTTACAATGTGATTGCATACAATTTTGGCGGCATGTTTAAGTTAGCTAGTGCTCGTCTCTGTTTTCCAATAAGACAAGCTTCAGTCTTTTCCAAAAAATATCTCTTTTGCGGAGCCGCATTTCTGGCCAGTAAAGACAACGGCAATGTCGCATCATTATCCCCATGGGCTGCGGTAGTTGGGTTTTATCAAAACCTTTTTCGAATAAGAAAATTACTGAGCGAATGCTCCCTTCAAAAAGCTTGGCTTTGGCCAAATTCAGTTCAAAATCACAAACTTCGCTTCCCAGAAAGTTTTCAGTAATCCAGAAAATGACACTGTAACTGCCGTCCATGGCTCCTTCAACACTTTCTACAATAGAGTTGCCGGGAAGGAAATTGCGCTCGTGGATACATAGACGAAAGTTGAATTGTTCGTCATTTTCCAGATTTGGGATCAGCTCGGCAGCAACCCAGGCCGTATCCAATAAACTATAAGACACAAAGGCATCGAATATTTTTACAAGGTTGACGTCAGCATCTTTTGCTTTCTTAGCACAGCATTGCCACCCGAACCTGACGACGAAAGCAAATCTTATGTCCCATCTTGCATAGTAAACAATACCAGCTATGAGAACTATGAATAATGCCAGTCCAAGGACACTTACCACCACCTTCGTCGTGTTATTATCGCACTGCCACCAGTCAGGTTTGAACTGAGTAATAGGAATTTTGTTTGTTGAGTAAGAGCCAAAGCAAAACTCGACTGAGTCCTTATTGTCAAGTCGTTGCAACCATTGCTGAAACAACCGTATATTGCAGTCACAGATTAACTTATTGTCCCTCATTTCAAGTACACGTAAAGACACCAACCCATCAAAAGCACCATCTTGGATCGTGGTTATGGAATTAGAGTTCAATCTTAGAGTGTGGAGTTGTTTCAAGTTTCTAAATAGTCCCTTAGAAATAGTCCGCAGTTTGTTGTGTGAAAGAATTATAAGTCTAAGACGCACCATAGAGTCAAACATTCCCACTGGTAGTTCAAATAACAAGTTATTACTTAAATCTAAGGATATTAAATTGCCAAGAGATTGAAACATAGCAATGCGTACAGAGACATTGGTGGAATACAGTCTGTTATAACTCATGCGTAATTCTTGAAGATTTGGCATTCCTTTGAAGTAATCTGCTCTCCGGATGTCACAGTGTAGGTATGCCCCGTTTCTAGATAGGTCCAAGATCTGTAATTGTTGTAAATCCTGAAGCTTTAGCTTTCTCAAATTGAAGGTGTCAGTCATAAAAGCACTATTTGAAAGTCCACTGAGGATGAGCCGTTCCAGGGAAGGCAGATTTTTGAAGACCAAATGTTCAATTTCCTGTGGTTTGTTAGGCCTAAAAACCAAAGTCCTTATACTTGAATGATTGTCAACGGAATAAGTCGCTTTCTTATTTTTCACAAAGGAAGAATCTAACTTGTTTACAAAACAAAGTTCCGTTAGGTTAGGGCAGATATTGAGTGTTCCTTCCAACAAATCTGTGTCCAAGTTATTCTGACTGAGATCAATGCACTTTATTGTGTTTCTGAAAGGATGTAGGGCCGGTAAAGGGAAGGACTGTATGCCGCATGAGTCTAACTTTAGTTCAGTTAGCTGGGGCAGGTCCTTGAAAGCTGGTGGTTGCAATCGTTTTATAGAATTCCTTCCAAGATTCAACTTTCTGAGAGATGTATTTTGAAGGGGCAAGAACATGGTTGAACTCAGGCTATCAACGTACAAGTCTATGCTTCGTGCAACTAAGCTTGTTATTTTGCTCTCCTTTAAACTCAAAGTTAAATTTCGGAAAGCTGGACAGTCGATTGTGGTGTTTTGGTTTTGGGCCTGTTTAAATTGTAATTTGCATAAAGGATTGAATGATACCGACAGTGCACCAATGTTTTTTACATCAATGAAAGCATCGTCCCAAATGTGTGTGATTTTGTTTTTATCTAAATATATACTCAGTTCACCATTCCTTAAAAGTGGTCGTAAATCAGTCCTAGATATTTCAGTGATTCGATTTGACTGCAAACCTAGGACGAGCTTTTTGCGGATTGCGGTGTCTGACGTGTTAATCCGAAAAGTATGTATTTTGTTATGACTTAGAACTATCTCACTTACATAACGATTTTTTAAGATTGCTTCTGGGATATGCTGGAATTGGTTGTCATTGAGAAATACCAATTTCAAATTGATATTTGTTGAAAAAGCGTCCATTCTTATTTCTTTTAAATCAATTCTCTTGAGAAAAATTCTTTCCAAACGATCCAAACCCTCAAAGATGGACGTTGACAGTGACGCCCCAAAGATGTCTCTATTATAGGACAGATTAATAGTCATTAGAGACTTCAGCGATTTAAAGATTTGATCAGATGGATGACGCAGATAGTTGTGGCTCAAATCCAAAACTTCAAGAAGGCCAAGACCGTAAAACGCGTCGTTATTCAGATAAGATATATTGCACGATCTTAGACGCAATACTCTCAGTTTGGACAGGAACTGGAACTGTTTCATATGTATGAGCCTAAAGTCATTGTTCGAGAGAACAGCAACAGTTGTAGTAATCGGGAGATCTGCTGGAATCGCGCGTAGATTTCGTCCCAAGCAGTTTGCCAATGTATCGTTTCTTGGTCCGTGGTCCACGTGAACGTCGCACTTGTGGGATGTAATAGTTGTCGTTTTTCCCAGTATGGCCGCCCACAGGGAAACCAATACATGTATGAGTAAGTACCCCGTGTGGAAANTGGTAGTTCAAATAACAAGTTATTACTTAAATCTAAGGATATTAAATTGCCAAGAGATTGAAACATAGCAATGCGTACAGAGACATTGGTGGAATACAGTCTGTTATAACTCATGCGTAATTCTTGAAGATTTGGCATTCCTTTGAAGTAATCTGCTCTCCGGATGTCACAGTGTAGGTATGCCCCGTTTCTAGATAGGTCCAAGATCTGTAATTGTTGTAAATCCTGAAGCTTTAGCTTTCTCAAATTGAAGGTGTCAGTCATAAAAGCACTATTTGAAAGTCCACTGAGGATGAGCCGTTCCAGGGAAGGCAGATTTTTGAAGACCAAATGTTCAATTTCCTGTGGTTTGTTAGGCCTAAAAACCAAAGTCCTTATACTTGAATGATTGTCAACGGAATAAGTCGCTTTCTTATTTTTCACAAAGGAAGAATCTAACTTGTTTACAAAACAAAGTTCCGTTAGGTTAGGGCAGATATTGAGTGTTCCTTCCAACAAATCTGTGTCCAAGTTATTCTGACTGAGATCAATGCACTTTATTGTGTTTCTGAAAGGATGTAGGGCCGGTAAAGGGAAGGACTGTATGCCGCATGAGTCTAACTTTAGTTCAGTTAGCTGGGGCAGGTCCTTGAAAGCTGGTGGTTGCAATCGTTTTATAGAATTCCTTCCAAGATTCAACTTTCTGAGAGATGTATTTTGAAGGGGCAAGAACATGGTTGAACTCAGGCTATCAACGTACAAGTCTATGCTTCGTGCAACTAAGCTTGTTATTTTGCTCTCCTTTAAACTCAAAGTTAAATTTCGGAAAGCTGGACAGTCGATTGTGGTGTTTTGGTTTTGGGCCTGTTTAAATTGTAATTTGCATAAAGGATTGAATGATACCGACAGTGCACCAATGTTTTTTACATCAATGAAAGCATCGTCCCAAATGTGTGTGATTTTGTTTTTATCTAAATATATACTCAGTTCACCATTCCTTAAAAGTGGTCGTAAATCAGTCCTAGATATTTCAGTGATTCGATTTGACTGCAAACCTAGGACGAGCTTTTTGCGGATTGCGGTGTCTGACGTGTTAATCCGAAAAGTATGTATTTTGTTATGACTTAGAACTATCTCACTTACATAACGATTTTTTAAGATTGCTTCTGGGATATGCTGGAATTGGTTGTCATTGAGAAATACCAATTTCAAATTGATATTTGTTGAAAAAGCGTCCATTCTTATTTCTTTTAAATCAATTCTCTTGAGAAAAATTCTTTCCAAACGATCCAAACCCTCAAAGATGGACGTTGACAGTGACGCCCCAAAGATGTCTCTATTATAGGACAGATTAATAGTCATTAGAGACTTCAGCGATTTAAAGATTTGATCAGATGGATGACGCAGATAGTTGTGGCTCAAATCCAAAACTTCAAGAAGGCCAAGACCGTAAAACGCGTCGTTATTCAGATAAGATATATTGCACGATCTTAGACGCAATACTCTCAGTTTGGACAGGAACTGGAACTGTTTCATATGTATGAGCCTAAAGTCATTGTTCGAGAGAACAGCAACAGTTGTAGTAATCGGGAGATCTGCTGGAATCGCGCGTAGATTTCGTCCCAAGCAGTTTGCCAATGTATCGTTTCTTGGTCCGTGGTCCACGTGAACGTCGCACTTGTGGGATGTAATAGTTGTCGTTTTTCCCAGTATGGCCGCCCACAGGGAAACCAATACATGTATGAGTAAGTACCCCGTGTGGAAACTGGCCCTTGTCATTGTTGAGCTGAAAATCAAAGACGAAACATGTAAACCAAGGCAAAAAGTTGGCTTTGTGTGTAAATAAGTAGTGCTGTAAGTCTACATGCATTAACTTGCATATAAAGTGTAAGAAAATTTGAAACACAAAAACATTTTTAAATGTAAATTTAAAGAAGGAACACACCAAGCTGTTGCTCGGTATAATACCTACATTCTACAATGTACGTAAGCCTGTTGCAGAGTCATCAAAACAATGCGTGAAATAAAAAATATAAACCGAACGAAGGAGGACTGAAAATATTAATGCTTAATCTGCTGCTTGTCTATCCACTGTGACTAAGGGAGCATTCCAATGGTAACAAGGTACTAGTTGGGTCGGTCCAACTTTGAGGGGGCTCTCGCTAAGTGCAATTGGCAACACTGATTGACACCCTTAGTGATTAACTTTTATGTGCGTTCGGCTTAATTGCTTACTAGCTGTTCGAGGAGGGGCGTCGGAAAATTACTTTGACTCCACTGATTGAAATTAGATCCCCCGCAGAGTTGATCCGACCCAGCTAGTACGCTGTTTCTTTGTGAATGGGCTCTAACACCTTTCGAAGTAACCAATCCAAACTGAGAACAACCCAACGCACATCAACCCACAAATTACTTGATCAGAAGAATTACGTCCATTAAAATCATCTGTAGCTAAACACCGCGCCCTCAGATATTTCGCTACGGTCTTTGATTTATTCGTGCCGTTCCGTTTCGACGTAGGTTGTAATTATATAACTAGAGTTTTGTTACCTGTTGCTTTGGCAGTTTTGTTCCCCGCGGCCCTGGTTTTCTTCAAGGGTGGCTACCACCCTTTGCATAGTGGCAGCATTGCTCAATTTCATACGGAAATTGGTCTGAAATGCCATAGTGGAAAACCACCTGAAATTTTCTCTCTGAGCCTAAAGGCGCTATTCACCATGAGTAGTTTACCTTAAGGGTTGAATTAGGCAATAATTTGTTTTATTTCCTTTTGTTTGTTCCCTTATGCAAGCCCTAATAATGTGTCCCTTTTTAAAGAATTTATTAACGCCCTCCACATCAATGGTTTTCTCATTGTTCATCCCATAGCTTTTATAATAATTATGTTCGGTAGTCACACACAGTTGTCAAATTTCCTTACACAACCATTTTTTTCTGTGTTCGGTGCACGTGTTTTGACAGTGTCCATTTTTCATATCCCATTCCATACGTTCTTTTTCGTCTTGGCAAATTCGTTATACGGTGCATATTTGTACCTTTCTCCCCTCTGATTTAAAGATACATGTATTGGAGAAGATATGGCGTAAGTCAAAATGTACTGAAGTCAGGTCCGTAGCCAGCAATTTTAAAAAGAGGGTTCTTTTTCTGAAAAAGTGGACCTTTTTCCATAAAAACGTCATGTACCTAGAGCAAATTTTTCCCAGAGTGGACCTTTTCCCAACAGAAGGGGCGGTTCTTTCGAACCCCCCGCCCCCCCCCCCCCCCCCCGGCTACGGGCCTGACTGCAGTAGATTCGTGGGACTAAGGCTGTATTCCCAGAGCTTTTAGATCGATCTATCCCCGCGGGGAGTCTCACTAGATTACTTTCAGATAATCCGGCTTAAATGTTCGTCCCGCCTACTACAAGCTGTAAGAGGGTAATTAACTTTCGTGTCCGCTCGGCTGACAGCTATTTAGCGTGAACCCCCAGGGAGTTAGGTCGATCTAAAGTAGATCGATCTAATCTCTGGAAATGGGGTCTAAGATCAGTATTTTTCCATATGGTGCGAGTCAGGGACCCAATCTGACATTTCATCTTTTAAAAGAAAGAAAAAAAAAAGAAATAAGAAAGAGAGAAGACGGGGATCTCCATGAATATGCATGTGCATGTAGTCGGTAAATGAAAAGTAATCTGAGTTGAAATAAACCAGCGATTCGCCCGTTCTACTTGTTAACAAAACATTTCATCAGTAAGGCACTATTACAGCGATAACGGTATCTTACTTCAATATTTCATAAATTGTTTTAAATAAGGCAGCAACACTGTCAAATGTACAGAAATAAAGCAGGAAAAATATCAATTCTCAGCACGATTTTACATAATATAAAATGACCAATTTACAATCATTTTTATATGATCAATTAACAAAATTCTTGAGATGGTAAAGATATCAATAGATAAATATTCGAAATCGGCCTTCATTTAATGAATATTCATCAGTTCTGTAAGTAAGAAGACAAAAAGTCAAATAGTTTTTCACTTATCGTCATAACACCGAAAGTGCTCGGCGACGACGGCGACAACAGACGCAGGTGACAGCAATATGTGCAGACACATCTCTGTCTGTACATAAAAATCTCTGAATGACAAAAATGTTTAAACATAAGAAAATCATCCATTATCATCTATAAAATTTATTGACATGTATTTATATATATTACAAAATATATTACGATTTATGCCAATCAATATGTTTACAATTATTATTATAATAATCTTTACAAAATGGAGTATATCTGTTTCACGTAATTCACATCACAAAGTGTTGTTTTTATGCCCTGACTGTGTATAAAGCATGACTGTGTCTGACGGGTTCTAGTGTGTTGTATTCGACAGTGTGTAAGGTGTAAAAATATGTTAGATGGAATACAGGGGCGGATCCAGGATTATTTGAAAAGGGAGGGGGGGGGGGGTTTGCGGATGCGAAAGCGACTCTCTCCACCCCCACCCCCCCAGCTGGAGGGCCCTGATTTTTTTGGTATTTCAAAGGGCGAGTGGTGCCATTTGGTACGGTTTAGAACTATAATTCAGCTAGTCAAAATTTTAATATTAATAGGGGACCATTGGTGTGATTTTTTTTTAGAAATCGAAGGGGGGGGGTCAGGACCCCCCCAAATCCGCCACTATAATAGTATGTTAGATATAATTCTTTATTGAAAGTGTCAGTGTGTAGATGTGGCAGCTCATTATACAGAATCACATTTTTCACAGGATCATATGTTACGTTTGTTAATGTGTTTTATTTGAATTTGTGTGTAATTTGGCAAGTAGTAAGTACGCATACAAAAGAGAACATTCTAATAGGTGATGTAGGTTTTTCGTTTGGAAATGACTGTGTGATGTGTTGACAGTTGCCACGGTTAGTTATACTGTGACGACATCTGCCCTGTACTTATATAAACTTATTTAAAAGATTATTTCAATTACAACACAGATTGGTAACCATTAAATAAATTAATACATGACCTTACTTCCTACATTGTAACGATATTAATAACAGTGTTTACTTCGTTGTCTGATTATTCATTCATATTTGTTGCCCAACAATACCTATACAGCCTATCTCTACCCTTTCCACAAAGATCAACAATTGGTCTTGAAAAGGGTAGTTTATCCATTTGTTTTGTTTCGCATGTTCTTACTGAACAAAAACCACATTATCCTATGGCAATTTGGAAATGGGCAATCTCTGACAAAACCAACAAGTGTTCTTCTCAGAGAAAGGCTGATGATTGAAATGGTGAATTCCTTAAAGAATACCGGTAAAAGAAACAGGTGTTGACTTGTATAGGTGTGGCAGTGATACGTCGCACGATTCAATTATTCTAACCATAATGGTATTGAAATATAATGCACTGCATAAAAACACCTGTGATAAAGGTATTTTCCTTATAAAAGCAACAACGTAGACAATTACTGCTATTACCGTTTAGTAATTACCCATAGATTTTCCACAAAGAATTGCTTAGCTATTTAGGCTGTTCAGTGAACTTGACAGGCAAATACCATGTGACTTTGTTGAGTCCCAACAATCCATCACATGATCCGCGTCGATATGCCATTGGCTTGAAAAGAACCTGAAGTAATGACATTGCCGCAGATTTTGAGAACGTGTGTACTGTTTCTTCTTTGTGAAATCTGGAGAGTATTGCATGCACATATACAGTTAGGAGTTTATGCATGACAATTGCATAGCCTCATTGCCCACGGACGAGTTCCTATAATATACTTGCGACACTTGCAAAGCACGTGTCTCTGTGCCACAACCATGATCGTTAATCCGTGTATCAGTGTGCCTTTCTTCATTGTCTTAGCAGTCAGTCAAAAGCTTTTCGCGTTACAATTGTCGAAATGAAATTCTAGCATTTTGAAAGAATTAATAAGATGGCTATTCACGACACTGAAACTGCTGAACTAAGATCTCTGAACATTCGTATTGGGTCTTAAGTAAAGTTCAATTTCCATTTTCTCCCTTCGTTGTATCTGAACTGCTTCAAAAGCCAGTATAAAGGGAATTTTATTGCAGATTTATGGCTGCTCCAAGCCTCTGATAAAGTAAATCTCCTTAAGAATCCTCGTTCATCATTTCCACGGACTATTCATTGTCTGTTTCAAATTATACACATTTTGTTAAAATTGACGTCGTCTCGAATGTGACAATGGTATTGCATCATGTTACAAGTGGCATCGGTACATGTGACATCTTGGAGATAGATGTGACGTCATTCGATGATGTCACTACAGCAAATGTGACGTCACTCCACATCTCATTAACCAACATCTGCTTCCATGAAGCTAACGTGGTAACTCCTGTTACTTGTGCCGTGTAGGATGATTGATACGACCATTGTGACATTGCAGTCAATGTGGCAAAATCAGTATTCTCACTATAAGATACCGCCAGTGAATCTATCGTGAAGATGTCACAATATCACGATTGTCATCATGCATCAATTTCTTCTACTCTGACGTCATTGTGGTAGGCAGTGCTGTCATATAGTCAGATAACATTAAGAAATCCTCATGTAAAAAGTATCTTTGCATGAATACGATGATATCAAAATTGAATCATAGTCCAATTTACACACCATCAGTCATTGCAGATCCCAATAGTCACAATCAGGCAGTGTGTCCAGCTGTGACGTCATTACAGTATATATGGCGATCCTACAGTTGTCCAAGTACGCCACTTAGAACACCACGCCGGTAGCTGTGACTAACATTTTTATTGTTTCCCATGCACGCCAAACAGTACGCCAGAAATGCAACAGTAGTAGATGTGCCAATTTGCATCACATTTATCACTATACGCCAATTAATACGCCGGTAAAGTCTGAGCCCCCCTGCACGAAAATGTCCCTGGCTGACGCGTTGTCCACGTAGACAGAGGTGTATTGGCCTTTCTGAAAAATGAGAGAAAAAAAGATCATTCATCCAGTGTGTTACTAAGTTTTACTTCTGAATCACAAAGTTTTACGTGACATTTCCCGAATTTGAATGCATTTTTGAACTACCGTCATAACTTTCCAAATTTTACAAATCAAGCCAAACAAAAGTGGAATAAAAGTTATAATAATAATTATGATAATAATAAGACACATTGTTTTTTTTAGCTACATCCCCACCCACCTGAAGCTGCAGCAAACCGTTCAGGCTAACGGTGAACACGTGACTGTTACTCTCTAACCCCGTGGTGTATTCCAGTGAGCTGATGGAAAAAGTATTCATGTTAATTACACGGTAACGTCCCAATTGTGTTATTTGTAAGGCAAAAACTTTCGGTGCTACCGAAAAATATAAATCACGACGCACTGTTAAATATCAATCATTCAACTAAAGAAATCTACACATATGAGCATATTAAATTTTTTTTAAATTTAACCACTCATTCTGAAAAGGAACGTCTTCTAAACAAACAAACAAAACAAACAAACAAACAGACAAACATACAAAAAATACAATTGTTTTAATCACTTTCAAATCAATTAGTTTGTTGCAGTTATTTTATCACAGAGTTGTTTTACTTTATAGCTATACTAGTACTTACGTATGCTTTTGACATAATGACTCGATGCATATCAGCACTCGGATGCTATCCCTTTTCCGTAATCTCCGTTTTTTGCCTTTTTTGTGACCATCGTGCCGGAAGTGAATGTTGGAAGAGAACTGGTATATTCCGTCACGTGGTGCCGTAAAGCGGCCCTCTTTAGAATCAAATACGTCACCTCTTTGAAAGGCACCGCCGCCAAATGGCTTTTGGCAATTAGAAAAATATATATATTAGACATATGACAGTGTTTCTTTTGATACTAATAATTTGTTAATTCGTACTGGTAGAACAGAATTAAAGCCAAAAAGATTTGTTTATTTCCATACTTGTGTAGGATATACGAGGACAACTGTGTTGATAATAATAATAATAATAATAATAATAATAATAATAATAATCAGCTTTCTAAACATTAATTTTTAAAACTTATTTATCAAAATAATCAATGGCTGAGATTATTATAAGCTTACCATTTGAAATCTTTTTAATTCTAAGAATGTTTTACTGGACACTGAAACAGCGTTCCGCAGACGACAGTGGAAGCCCGCGCTTATTTTTGGTATGACCGTGACCTCATCAAGATCAAACATGCCTGGACCCAGTGGCGCCCCCGTGTAGTTGCTTCGCTGACATCCGGGACACTGAAAGTTGAAAATATTCTAGGGTAGAAAAATTTTTGAATAGTTTTACACATAACAAAAGAAAAAAATACGTGGAATATATCGAGATGAGCCAATACTCATGTTTCATTTCTCCATCAAGTTACAATTTTGACAAAAATTTTATTTAGATGGAATTTTATTCTTAATTTATTATTTTCACCTTTAACTATTTCCAAATAAATTGAAATGCTCGTATAGATAAGACATTGCGAAACTCAACATCAAAGCAAAATAATTCCAGTGTGGATAGTAATTCACGTAATAGCTGTACACCTATAGTTTCCTGTCGTATAAGGACTCTTACCATGACTCGTATTCGCACGGCAAGAAGCTGCTCTGCTCGCCTCTCTGCCACCTCTGAAGAAACAAAAGAAACAGTAAGAATGGCCGACTGCTAAAATGGCGCTTAGGCAAAAACCCAGTTTCAAATAATTTTCCCAAACCGTCTTGAAGTCTGTTACTGACTGCACAGGTCCCGTTTTGAAATCCCCAACACCATATAATGTGCTGGACCATATTGTTCTAATACCAAAAGAAAATAGACAGAGGAAAATATAAGTCTGAAGCACGGGCAGGGTGGATACCCGTAAGTGTTTAAAGGTAGGGTGAATGTGTGTCTGTGTGAGTGCGTATGTCAGAGAGAGAGCAAGCATTCGCACTGTCACAACAAACACAATTGCAATAATTAAGTACACACTATAAAACTTACTACAATACAGTACGGTCTCGAGTTTTTGACCTAAAAACGTGCTTTTTGACAGGACCAAAACCGATTTTGGAATAAGTTTATCTGGCATTACCAATAAAAAACTGTTTCGGAAAATGACATTGATAAATTTTCACCTAATTTAGGTGGAAAATTTTGCACCCCCCCACCCCCCCCGTTGTTATAATTCCCAACTAATACAACGGGTGAATTTCAAACATTTTGCTGTAGACTAGACTAGACTAGACGATGCGTAACGAAACTACATGTACAATACACTACAGTACACTACACTGCACTGCACTGTACTATGTTTCACTATACCATAAGTTTACCTTTCACCATGTCTTTGAACTCCTTCATTAAGATGTCTTTGGTGACTGCTGCTCCCGCGGGTCCCGGGGGTCCTGGGGGTCCGGGTGGACCAGGGGGGCCAGTAATACCCTAAAATATTGAATAAAAGACATTTTATAACAGTGATAAAAAATGAAAGCAAGCAAGTGACAACAATAAAGGGAAATTAGATTCATATTTCACATAAATACGTTACTGGTATAAAGAACTCATAGAAATATAATAAATTCTACTTTACTACCAAAACGGCAGTCATTATTCTTTTTATTCTTGTGCTGAGAGATTGTAAAAAAAAAAGTTTTTTTCAAAAACCATGGACTAACAACTTTGAATGTCGGAACGGATTTTTAAACCATTCATTCATTCATACAGCATTGGAAAATTATCGTTTACCTCAGGAGAAACCATTTTTTGCCAAAATGAACAGTTGTTTTCACCTTAAAGGATGTGTGCACACTGCACAAAGCAAAGTTCAGTACATGCAGTATTTTGTAAATTTTACAGACGAGGGTTATCTCGTACATTTGTCATCAAAATTTGCACGGTGAAAATGATAAAGAAAACATAAACTCTACTCTAGTTGACGCTTTTTGCCGTTCAGCGAATGATAAACCTTTGACAGCGAGCTTCCTAGTTTCAGTAAATAGGGAAGGAAAATTTAATATAAAGCACAAAACAGTTATCAAAAGTATTTTACTACAATGACTAAGCCACAGGGAAGAAAAGAATTTTTTTGCGTTTGTTCTACTATTGTTTGGGGAGGGAGAAGGGAGAATGGGAGAAGGGAAGCGTGAAGGGGAGAGGGGAAAAGGGAAAGAAAGAGAGAGAGAGAAGGGAGAATCCCAGAAGCTAAGGGAGGATCATTAAAAGTGAAAAAGTAGGGTAAATCTTAGGCGGGGGGTGGGGGTGGAGTAGGTCCTTCACGTAATTAGCTGAAATCTGTGGTATTTCCCTATCGCATTTACTGCAGATTCTTCAGTAAAAAAAAAAATTATATCACAACCACAAAATTAATGATAAAAATGAAAAGTAGGGCAAATCTCAGGGCAAGGGGGGGGGGGTGGACCTACGCGTAACCCGATGAAATCTGTGGCATTTCCCCATGGCATTCACTGCAAATTTTTCAATTTAAAAAAATCTACATCACAATCACAATATTTATGATAAAATTGAAAAAGTTGGGTAAATCTCAGGACAATAAGGTTGAGAACAGGATAATAAAAAGACAGAGGGGAGAAAATGACCACGGTTGGAAGAGTACANTTTCCCCATGGCATTCACTGCAAATTTTTCAATTTAAAAAAATCTACATCACAATCACAATATTTATGATAAAATTGAAAAAGTTGGGTAAATCTCAGGACAATAAGGTTGAGAACAGGATAATAAAAAGACAGAGGGGAGAAATGACCACGGTTGGAAGAGTACAGGCATACTTGATGACAGACTTGATAAGGGACATCATAGTCGCCATCTTGGGTCCAGTACCAGCTGCGTTTCAGTTTGTTTGATTTATTTGATCCACACAGAATGGTCATTTCTCCTCTGTTAACTCGCCCCTCCTTAAACTACACTTAACAATACCGCCCGCGTCTCCTCGGGGCGAGCGGAACCGCTACGACTCTAAGGCATTTCAATTATTAATCAAATTCTATAAACACGCCGTGATTGTTTTTGACAAAATAAGAATTTGGGCGGAGATTTTGGCCTACTTCATTTGTGCGATTAACCATTCAGCTTTCTGGGCCCAGCGCTTAATCCCTGAGGCTCAGCCATACTTGGTATTATCGAACTCCATGGATAATTATAAAGAGAATTAATTGTGCCCGCGATCGCGAATACCGTAATATTCTCTAAGTCTCCAAGGTATATTGCTTAAGTCTTTGTATGTGGTTCGTATGTTACACCGTTATTGACCGAGAACGATATAGAAAGTTATTAAGTTATAGAATGTAAACAACCTGGTTTTTGTTCGGGGAACAAATGACTTCGTTAATGTGATCACTGTTTGGTGTAATCTCTGCGGGGATGTTTTAGTAAGTGACGCGCGGGAGCAGCCGGTTTCACCACCTGTGTCTCGCGTCGCACACAATACTATAAATAACGGTTAAAATTACCTTATTATTACACAATAAATAAATAAATAAATAAATAAAAACTAGCGAGGTTGGATAGGCTACGCCTTGATGGTTTTAAAGAGAAAAATGGTGAAATTTTTATTAAAATGTTTCTATTCAAAGGTTAAATACTCATTCTGTGCTTTTTAAAAGAAGTTTTTAAAGTTTTAAATAACATCAAATTGACAAAGCTCTCTTTCTCATAGCATTCGTCTGACTGAACTGTTTTATGGTAATATAATGCTGTAAAATAAAATTGACGTGTCTTATTTCTACCTTAATATATTTCCTTTCCACTCAGAAATCATATTCCATTACCATCAATAGAAATATAATAGAGGGAAATATTTATTTTGTGAATTAAAAGCCAATCGCAGATTATTAGACGCCATATGGGAAGTATTTATTTACAATAATCACCATGCGTGATTTCAATCCCAAACATATTTGACAATTAATTGCAAAGACATCGTTTTAGCGATACTACTCGTAGACCCCTTTGGTCGAGGCTCACTGACGCGATGTAAGCGTGAGCCGCAGAACAATAAAGCAGTCCACGCAATAATCATATTGAAAATTAAGAAATCATCCATCTACAAATTTAAAGTCTAGATTACGCATATGGAATACATAACAATTGTAGGATATAGAGCCAGTTAAATAGGACAATAGTCGCCCCGAGAGCACGCGAATTTATACAAATGATTAAATATCAATTATAACTGAATTAAACCTTGTGCAGTGATACACGTGCCTGCGCGTGCTTGCATTTAGGCCAGCTTTTTATAAATGTTTTGCTGTCTTATTTTCATCCTATTTTCCCAGAATGCTATAACAGAGAACGAATTTTCTTTCAAAAGCCTGATCGAAACAAGGATGAGTACTTCTTACGATCACAAATACATCTATACCGAAGTTTGTTAAAATACTAAAAAAAATTTCAGATAAATGTAGCACATTTGTTTCATGGCCTTATCGAAATTTTTATTTAGAAAAACATCTGTTCCTTATTCAGTCTTATATAGAAGATATCCCCTTTGATACGTCTAAATTTTATATCAGCGCCAAGAGAATAAGGTGACATTTTTCAAACCTTAAAATTGGAGAGACCGTAAACCAATAAGGTGAACTGAGGTACGACTGAGGTATTCTGAACCCCACCTTTGACAAACTGGTCGTCATCTATGACGTCATTTAGTGTATTTCCAGTCAAATTTTGACCGGATGTCATGACAGCGTCTCATGCAGAATTTGCTGTTGTGGAACCATTGACTTACCAGCACTCGTCCTTTTTTCTTCTGTCTTTTATCTGCTTTTGGGTTTTTTGAATGGCTGACAAAGTTGCTCCAACTGAGCTGGGGATTCACCCTGATTGGCGCCTGAAAATCAAGAAAATAGAAAGTTCACGAAAGACTCTGTAATGAAAAACTGAAGTTGGTATGACTTTAGATATGTTCTAAAGGACCCAATTCCAGATCATAAAGACTTTGACATCAACACTCATTCGGTCACACACGAAAACAAACGAACTAACCGAATAATTTTTTAATCCTCCTAACGACAAAAACGTCGTTTGCGATGTCACGATTTGCGCAATCTCTACAGACGTAGAAATAGTAATGTTCACGGACAACATACATTTCATATCATCTAAACCATTCACACATTTCTGTTGAAAACATACTTATACTCTTAGCTTAAATTGAATTGACAATTTAAATACAATGTATAATGGCTACTCTAAGCGTCGCTGTATGTATGCGCCCGTGTACGTGTGCGTGTGGGCACGTGTGTGCGTAAGTGTGTGACAGTGTGTGAATGTGTGCGTGTGTGCGTTTGTGTGTGCGTGCGTGCCTCGTGTGATGGCGATGGGGGGAGAGACAGGTTGGGGTGGACTGCACCCCAGCGGCCCCCCTTACTACGCCACTGAGAGGTAGGTATTGATGTCGCTGTAGTCCAAGACCTCGACCCAACGCGTGTCAAAAGGTGCTACTTTAATTGAAGTGCTTCAGAAACTTAATCGAGGAAAGTGGCGTGTTAAATGCCTGTGCCACGGATTACTGAAACCTGACATGGCCGCGAATTAATGTGAGAGAGGGGAGCGAGGGGAAACTGAACGCTGACCTCCTGCATTACAGTTACCCTCTACTAGGGCGACAGATTGATTTTTTACAAGATACTCACAGATATGTCTTTAGATAGACAGTCATTTCACTCTCTGGCTTTTTCAAGATTTATCTATAATATCTGCCACCCTGGTAGAGGGTACTTTACAGGTACATGTAGTCGTGGTGACCAAGGTAATACTTTAATGCTGAATATCCACGTGTTTGGATCTGTCATAAAGGCAGAAACCACCTTTATTACATGTACTTTTTTCTAAAATATAACGATCTGTATCCTATAGATTCTTGTAAATGCTTTTTCTGACGATATCTCAATATGGACAACTGCCGCCATATCACGCATGTCTGATTTAAAGCTAAGAAAATTAGGAAAATACCGCCACCAGCGACCTCAATGCATCGGGTGCTTAATATTCCCCTCGGGCGCCTCTTAAAGTCGCTACACTAGCAAGGAGAGGGGAATAAGAACGCGTGTGACAGACATTAAGGATCGTGTTCCATTAATATCAAACCTCTTTGTTAGCATTGTTCACAGGTCACCGGTGTCAGAAGTGAATTTGTGAAGAAAGGCCTGCAAACATGCAATCGGAACGCTAAATCTCCTTTAAATATTTTCATAAGCCGTCTGTACACAATTTTCGGTTAAGTTTTGCGACTATGAGCCGCTTAATTGATCTGACATGAGCAGCAGACGACAATTTGACATGTGACAAACGAGGCTCTTATAAAGACACGGCTTCCTGACACAGTCATCTGTTTTCTCTCTCTCTCTCTCTCTCTCTCTCTCTCTCTCTCTCTCTCATTTCTAAGAAGTAATACATATAACAATAATAAAATGCCGTATGAAAGCACTTTGTCTGTGTGCTCGGACGTTAGACATGGGGGGGGGGGGGTAGGAGGGTCACATGACTGCCTCCAATAAAATGGCGAGAATCAATTCCTCCTCTCTGGTGCAACATTGCTTCTATTCTGTACATCCTGTTCTTGTATTTTATCTTACTGCAAACGCAGACCATTTCATCACAGCAAATGCACTGTTTTGCTGAAAATTGACCAACAAAAGCTGTTTTTTGTTTGTGTACACAGTTAAGGAAAACTGGTAGCAAGTGGGATATGTACCAGTAGGTATTAAAACTTCTTGTCAGAGAAAATTTTCATCAGCTGCGTTATGGTACAAGAAATAATTCCCTGATGAAGATGTTTTGTTAGACATTAAAATATTGGAGGTAAACTAATTCAATATTAAGCTGTTAACTGACGAAAAAGTACTTTAATAGTAGCCTTAATTCACTGTTCAGTTTTATCCCTAACCAGTATCACTTTATGACGACACGCAAACGGTCATTTAAGGACACTAACCAGGGGCTTTAGTGGTCGTTTTTTAGTGGTCAGGCGATGTATTTGTAATAAAGTACGAACGCACTGGCCATTTCGATGACCACTCCCGTTGACCGCTGGACTCTCATTTCCACTCACGACAACTCTTCAAACATTTATCGCTGTTGTTAATTTTGATCTTTTTCACCTTTTGTTTAATTGCTATGCAAACTAGGAAAATACCACCACTTATTCTATGCAAGAAACAGTTATTCATATAAAAATTCAATTAAATGAGAGAATTAAGAAGAAAAAGGAGAGGACTATTTTTCTATGACAGCCCATGCTTGGATGTAGATAAAGTAACTCTGGAAATTTTTGAAAGCCATACGTAAGCCATATGTTACATTATATCAAATGAATGTAAAATTGGCTGTTAAGTGAGCGAAATTTCGACCCTCATTTTTGTCAACAACTGCATACATGTAGTAATAACTTGCCATCGGTCAAAATTCTCACACGTGCCTTGTGTCCCCTGTCCTCAAACTAGGCGGGTGCGGGGCCAGCAGGGGTCAGGTGCCTATCGGGGGACCGCCGTCTCCCCTCCGAGCGTCAAATTCTCAAAATACATGACATGCTACATATGCTAAGTTCGACAAGGTTGTTGCTTCCGTCTTCGGGGCAAAAACACCGTACACACGGTTTAACATGCGCAGTACAAGGTAGGAAACATGGTGTCACTGAAGGTGACGCACAGTTTAAGGGACACACGCATGCCTGATCATTCATCCGTCTGCTCTTCCCTCCATCCATTCCACCATTTATCCATCCGTACTAGACATTCGTTCGTTTGTCTTTTCTTTTCATTCGTTCGGTTTTCTTCAATCCATCCATCCATCCATCCACAATCTATGCAGTATGTTCCTACCAGAAATTTGTGATCAGTCAATCAAATTTTACTGAAGCCTGTAAAATGTGTTTTAAAACTTATGGGGATATGAACTTTAAAATGAGTTAAAACTTATCTTTTTAGGAAATTTCATTATTGAGTATCTTGATGGTAATTGGTTTTATGTGAAAATCAGGCAATTTTTTATCTAGAATCTTAATCTTTCTTAATGATTTTGATATGTTATTGTATTTATGGTCTTAAGTACTTGTATTTATGATCATATTTTGAATGGACTTAAGACTTAAAATAAATATGTTATTATATTATTATTACATTATTATCCATCCCCCCATCCATCACTTCATGAATTCTGCATTCCTGCTATCAATTTCATCTTGCACTAATATATAATATATTCATTCAATCTTTTAATGGAACACTAATTAATTAATTAATTAATTAATTTATTTATTCACTGACCAGAACCGACCCCGTACCACAGAAGGATCACACAAAGTTCAGCAAGAGCTCAGCGGGAAGCAGTGGAGACGGCTTCCGTATCGTACTCGCTACCGCGTGAGACCGCGGAGAGATAACATGAACCACACTGGATTAAGGAGCGTGCTTTATCGCCCTTACTTTCGATATTTTGACGAAGTTAAATCCCCTGGATTAAGCAGATCTATAGAATGAGATAAAAAAACTCGCCATTAGACGCGGGCAGGCTATATGGGACGCAGCAGGGGGCATGTCAACGGAAAGAGAAATGGGAGTTTATTAAAAATCATACGACAGCAGTGTGTCATAATTGAAGTACAAGTAAAGCTTGCGTTTTCAGTGACGCCGAGTATAAGTAAATACTTCCCCCATCTCTTTTATTTTATGTTGGAGCCCAATTTAGCGCTTAATGTTGTTGATAAAGAGGATCAAGAGGAATAAAGGGCACACCCTTTTCATTATTTTATTTCAGTGTACGCATTACTTTCTGTCTTTTGTTTCTTCCCCTTACGTCATCTCTCCCTCCTCCCCTTTCCACCCCCTCCTTTCTCTCTCTCTCTCTCCATCTTACACACACACAAACACACACACACACACTTTCTCTCTCTCTCTCTCTCTCTCTCTCTCTCTCTCTCCCTCACACACACACACACACACACACTCTCTCTCTCTCTCTCTCTCTCTCCCTCTCTCTCTCT